TATTATATATATTATTATATTATTATATATATTATTATATTATTATATATATTATTATATTATTATATATATTATTATATTATATATATTGCAATATATTTATCAAGTATTATCGAAAGGTATAAAAAATTTGAACAAAATTCTATCTAACCGTTCTGTTGACCACACAATAAAAGACAAGTGGCAGTGAACTACTAAAATAGACAATGACTCACAATGATTGTCACGTTAGGGTGAAGAGTCTTCGTAGCCAAAGCCACCCCCGCGATCAAACCGCCCCCACCAACAGGAACCACGAGGGCATCGATGTCTGGCACTTGCTCCACAATTTCTAAACCCAATGTTCCTTGTCCGGCCATGATATCCGGATGATCGTAACTGAAGTAAAAAGAAGAAAATCGAAGGTGGAATAGTTAAATCAATCGCCCCATATACCTTAACCCTTTGCCCTCGAGAAGCTATTTTAACTGTAAATATAAGATCATTCTTCTAACTTATATAGTATTTCTATTTTATACGACAAAATGCATTTTATGCATACGAAATTGATTCTTGGGACTCACGCAACAGTTACACTCTTAACAATTTATTATATCTAAACTTTGTTAATATCAAAATTATCTTAAAAGGTGATATAACAAATTTTAGTGGTGCCTCAGAGTCACCACTCGAGTGCAAAGGGTTAAAACTTAATAATATACTGTTGACGAATAAATTTACTTAATATTCTTGTGCACGGTCTGGTAGAGATAATTTGAGAATAATTGCTATTTCTAAAGAAATTAACCAGACGTCAGCGTATTTCTCAGATACATGTGCAACCGTGTAAAGTCTAGTTCAACAACAACGCGAACGCTCTTGTTAGTCTGTACTACAATTTATTCACGGATTAGTGGGATTACTGATCGAGTCTGGACTTCGTTAATTATTATTTCGATCATTTAGTATTAATTATTATTAATTAACGACTAACGGGTTGAAGAACCCTTTGATACGTTTCAGCATTATTATACATACAGCGCAACCTGCATCGAGTCAGAGAGCGGACGTAAAGCCTGGTGCATTCTCATGATGCATTTGATGCGAATGCGCGTCTTTGGCACGCGTCATTTTGACGCGTTCCAAATTTTTAATTTACGAGGAATAAAATCATGAAGATATATTTAACCGAAACGTATTCAATGAGCTCGTTTCATTCAATACACATAGGAGAAAGAATTATACTGGATTCGCCTTGTTATTTTTATGAAGCAACATAAAATAGTCGCAGACCTAGTCGTGAATGTTGTTAAACCATTTGAGAGTAGATACAGCATGGTCGTGCTTATTTAACCACACCATTAGCTTGATTGGGAAGCTATTCTAAACATGCATTGTGCTCATCAGTGGAAAATGAAACAATCTCGAGGGACAGTCTAATAAACGTCACAAGAATGACTGACATTTTTGATATTATCTGACGGTGACATAAGTCTTTGCAAAAACACTCGCATACCCATTTATATAGATCAGTCCTTTATCCTTCGAATACTTGAGAGCAATACGCTTCGCCTCGCCCATATCGTGGCCATCGACGATCACGGTGGCACCGTACTGTCGGCATGCAGCGATCTTCATGATCGGTGCTAAGGTAGGCATCACCACAGTCACTGGAATACTTAATTTGTAGCCGTGATAGCATAACGCGAGAGCATGATTGCCCAACGAAGCCGATATCACGCCGATTTTCTTCTGCTCGTCCGTGAGCATGAACAGAGCGTGCCTAGCCCCTCTTTCTTTGAAGCTTCCGGTTATTTGGAGGAAGTCCTTCTTCAGGTACAGATCGATTCCTGTCTGCTCCGATAGTCGAGACCGCTGTAGGAATGAATAGGCGAAGATATTATTTACTCTTGACGATGCGACTTTTGAAATTCTCTCGCAATCTTTGTAACTAATCGCAAACTAAATCTGCGTATTGATTTCTTTTATGCGTGTTTCGTGAGATTTATAAATGAACCTTGACACTGCGATTTTCTCTAATTTTTCAGAATGTTCATTGGAATTATTTTTTAATTTCCAACCTAGTAAGAGCGAACCTCTAAATACTTTTTGACCTATTCTAATTCTGGTATCAGCTCTACTGCTCTGGAATTGAGATCGTCATGGCTATATACGTAAATGCAATTTATTTGTAATAAATATTTAAACGTTTCACTGTCTAGTTGCTCTGCTACTCGACAGAAATTGTAATAATTCAGGACGACATTCTGTGCAGTCACACGAATTAAAAATTCATGTAGCAGCTACGAAGTTATAAATAATTAAAAATGGGGCGCAAGTTTCCGTGGTCTCTATTTAAGTTTATTGGTTTATTCTTCTACTAGACAGCGGATCTGTATGTAAAATAAGAATTTTCTTCGTCGATTTCAGCAAACAAAATCCGAATAAAATATTCTTTCTCTCTTTAATCGATTCACTGAGTTGAAAATGTTACATAAACAATGTTAAATTTCTGAAATTGTTCCGTTGTTTTTATCTTTTAATTTTTTCAATAATTGCATAACATTCACGAGTCTATTCATGAGGCACGAATGTTAAATGAACGAAAATACATAAATCAATTATTAATTTTACTTGTCGGAAATTCCTCGAACACGTTCATTCGTGTGAATCTAACCGGAAAACTTTCTTGCAATTCTAAAATTAAAACTGACGTTGTGTGAAATGTTTACGTAATGTTTCATATTTATGTATTGATAAAACTGTTTACGTCCAGTCGCTACATCGTCCGCTCGATACAATCCCATTTCTAATGTGATACTCTAATTTTTAAATTCTTAATCACGTATGAAACAATTAACAACTCTCTGTCAACTTTGATAGAAATTCATAAATAGATACGATTCTCGTAATTTATGCAAGTATCTATTTTCGTGCACAATTCGAAAACGAGCAGAACGAATGAAAAATTTCCTTCGTATTCAGGTGAAAAGAAAAATGCTGCCAATTTTCCCAAACATGTTGACTGCCGCTTCACTCATAGACGAAATTATTTACTAGAATTTAAGAATTAATTTTTACATTAATCTATTATATCGTCTTAATTGTATTGAAATTCGCAAAACTGATGAGTGTTTTAAGACGTATTGGTGCTTTACAACTTAACTTCTCAATTTTTATTTCACGCAATAAAATAGTTTCATGAAACAATCCATAAAATAATTTTATGAAATTTATGGCGCCGTTGACGCTGTAGTCAAAGTGTAATGTGCTCCCATCTCGAAAAAAAATGTTAAGAGACAGAAGTAATTAAGTTGTTGAATTAATAAACACAAGCCTAAAATTTAGCATAAATAAAAATCGTAAGACAATCAGACTTATTTTAAAGGACGAATCCTACACTTTTAAAGTGCCTAATTGATTTTACCACAAAAAAACATGTCCTGGCGAATGCTAAATCGAAGACAATATTTCTGTTCGAAAAATTCAATTTATACCGTCCTTTACATCCAAGTGACTCTACCGAGCTTGATAAATGTTTCTAACGATTGAATTCTCCACGGACTTCAAGTTTAAAGCCTCCAGTTCGCAACGACGTCTCAAAATTTAACGTGCAATTTTTTTTCACAGATTTTCACAAAACTTCTTGGCGCCTCCGAATCAATTTTAATTTGATTAAATAAAATACTGTAATATTAGGTTAATGTTTATTACTATGGCATAACCTCTTTCACAGTCTTATTGTGCACTGCCAGCGTCACATTTCGCCAAAAAGAATTTCTTGTACGAGTTTTGAGTTCTCTATGGATATGAATTGTGCGGATCTTCGTGTAATATTTTATGAGCCGAGTTTATATATATATATGCATTCGAAAGACCAAAACTTCTTCAGAAATGGCGCTTGTTCATCAAAAACTCGTTGGAAAAAGTGTATCGAAGCAAATGTATCATATTTCGTTTGAACAAACATCTCTTGAAAAAAAGGTATGAAGTTTTTACTATTCATTTAAAAATCCGACATTTCATATGCGTCAAACTAATATTACAAAATGTTTGACGTTTGATAGCGTGGCAGTTGATGCGATATTAAATTAAAAGAATTCATAATTGCGTAAAAATCCGCTGTCCACTGCCAACCAACGTACCACGCAAGGTGTGTTAACGATCCCGCACTTGATCTTGAACGCCGCCGAGGTGATGTCCTCGAAGCTGATTTTGTGAGGGTTCTCCTCCAAGCAGAAGGGATCGACCAACGGTTCTTCATTGCTCTGCGCAGAAAAATGCGGGTGTCTTGACACTGTCCTAATCGTAAACCCGGTTCTTTGTACCCGATCGATGGTGTATAGTAACGTGGCAACGTTCGAAAGCATCGCGAACAAGCTAGCAGATATGTCGAGACACGAGGACAGAATGCGTTTAAACAGGACCCGTATCGATCTCATTTCCTGTAATTTGCAATCGCGTACACTGGTTTCAACAAACGCGATGGAATGATTTTAAATCGCGATTTTATTCGTGAACGCTGAGGCAATGATTACGAGAGATTCTTCGTCCGGATCACCGTTGCTCCGGTTCTCAGTCGAATCGATCGCGTGCCCGTTCTGCAGGCCTTCGTTCTTCCTGTTCAGATCCTTCATGATCGATCGATCCGCCGAGTTGCGACACGCGCGAAAAATCGACTGCAAACGATCGCCGGTCGGCCGTGTTACTTATTCGAACGTGAGGTTGCCGTATCGCTTTGCCGGTCGTTATCGCCCCGCGACCTTCGACCTAGTCCTTCGTTCGACGACGATCGGCTGTCTCCAAGTCTCGTGATTGTCACAGTTCTTCACCACATGCAGTTTTTCCATCCGGTTGTCCGCGATTACAGGAACGACTAATAATATTCCACTGGGGGATTTGGAAACAACGAGATTCCCAGTAAAACGAGGATAGTGAAATGTTATGATCGGATGTAATCTGACATGCTCGCGAAGATGCATTCGGTCTAGTGGCTGGCGCTAATGAGATGAATTTTATAGTTTAGCAAGAATGAAGAGAGTGATAGATTTACGAGATTTTTGAGAAATTTTATTTCAGAGAATTATTTTATGAATTTGAAACGGGAAGATGGTTGGTCATTTAAGATCGATAAGCATAGCGATCAATAAATTGTGGATTTTATGCATTTATGAGAAAATTGGGTGGACGAAATTTCATACAATGAAAACAATAAAAGAATTTAAGAACATCTGTGTATTATTTTCGACTCGGTACAGTTGATTAAAAAAGATAGAAATTTCTATTTGATTTGTGTTTGTTGCAATCGATAAGGATTATTTTTATTTTGCATAAAGATCCACAGTCTAGTGATCAAGATAATAAATAAAGTATATAAGATCAGGGATACTAATAAGTGTGTATATAGTTTTTCTGTAGAAACCGCTCGAGTCAATAAGAATCATTCGCATAGAAGTATTCCAAGAAAATAGAGTGCATAGATCATGTTAAGGGTTGAATACGTTCAATATTTTGAAAAATAATATCAATCAAATAAATATAAATATAATCAATATTTTGCAAGTTCAAACTACTGTTTCAAATTGAGGGGAACAGTAATAATTATAAATTACTAACCATAGGTAACGAAAAAGTAGATACGGAAATATCAGATCCGTAATATGCTGATTCAACTCCGCTTGCGGCTGCTCGCTTAGACACCCCGAAATCGACTGATTTCGGTCGAGTGATGATCACAAAGCGTCCGCCCAAAGATAACCCCGGCTAGACCGATAGTGCTCGAATATGTAGTTCCGAGAGTGAAAGAAAATTATCGTACTCGAAAAGACAATCTTTTTCAATGGATTGTCATCGCACGTTTTCATTAATCACACTTGCTCTTTACACTTTGAGTGATTAAGGTGACATTAGTTGATTATTGCTTGCCGAATCGAAACAAGGTCCAGGGCTTTGTAGAAAGAAATAGAGAGTTTAAGAACCGTGTAGGAAAAATCACGACATATACCGTTTGCATTAATTCCGTAATTAATATCATTGTGTGTTACACTGCTTTCATCGAATCGTAATTAATTGGAAGAGATTGCGAGCCCGTGCATGTCGAAACAGTTGCAGTAAAAAAGAAAATGCTCGCGTGCTTCATTATCGGAATAATTAATAATAATAAATTCATGTTCTTTGTACCTTGTCCATATATCTACGTTGTCATTTGTATGACTCTCCTTGTATCGTTACCAATGTTCTTTGTTTTCTATGGTAAAGATTTTGCTGTACTATGATTATAATTAAAACGATACTTATATTTTGTGGCTACGTCTATTATCATTGTTATTGTTAGAATTGGGTCAGACGCGATTCGGCAGTGCTCGTCACAATGCTCGTCGGAACGCTGGAAGTCACGTTTGTTCTGAAATTGTTCATTGTTTCGTGTAATTATTCGTGACAAATGCGAACGTAAATAACGGGGCAAGAAAAGTATATGTGCCGCGTGGCTATTGTTTGTTGTTCCGCGTATTTTTAACTGGTGCGTTCCCGAGTCGCTCGTATTATACGTGTAAAAAGCCAACGAACCCACTGCGTGGCATGCGAGAGATCATAATTTCGCGGTTTCGTCATTAACAGCGGGAAAAGAGCACGTCGATTACCGATAATTCGTATCTACACAAAGAAAAGGAACTGATGCACTGTATGATTTGTAATTTAAAGAACAATGTCACAAAGCTATAAGCCATTGTGTTTGAAAAAAATCTGTAAAATTGATGCCCGTGAGAAATATTTGTCAAATCCCGTTTAAAAACTGAAAATAACACAAGGTGAACACAAATAAGGTAAAATTATCTATTATTGGGGATGCTTCTTATCGTATATAAGATTCAAAAAGGGCTTAAACGAACAATTAATTTTTTCTTTCATTCCTTTATATCTGTTAATGAGAAACATATTCACTTTAAACCATGTAACATTAATATTATAAATGTAACCCAAACTGTAAAATTATATTCACTTTTCACATATTTCATTTCTAATTTTAGTTTTGCATCTCGAGCATTTTCTGCTGCAACTTTTCTTTCTCCTCGGTTGAAGTTTCCTCTCTTCTTGCAACTGTTTTTTCCTTGAAGCCACTTCCTGTTTTATTATTTGTTTCTCTTCTTTTACTTACCCGTATGTAAGATGAATACTTGACTTCTACATATACTGTCTACACTTTCAAAACGTAACGAAAAGAATTTAATTTCTTTTACTTTCGCAGTAGAAAACGCGATCAAGAAACCCACGCACGTGTTCCATGAAGTGGTGCAATCTAGTAACGACATTCTTCCTGGATATGTAACACGAACGCCAACTATTAACACAGCCGTATTCGAATAAATATTTTCTTTTTTACACGCGATTGTTAGATGACAGTATTTACATGAGAGGATTTATAAAGAACAATGTTCAAAATTATGGGCAGAATTTTTGCATCCATTTTCATGTGTTCCACCTAGTTTTTATTGTATTATCAGTGCTATCGTTTCGAGAGGAAGTCACAATTGAGGCGAAGTTTCATAACGGGCACCTTTATCTTATTGTACACGAAACTTTTAGCAATCTTCGCGCTCTTTCGAACCTATTTCCACAGTCAGCTCCACAATCGACAGTCCTTCATTTTCACGGCGAACGGACGTTGGTCGTGACACGCAGCCCCTCGTCGACAATAATTTATTAATAATTTGGCACGCGTTATCGTGGCCCGTCACGTGCCAACATGGATTCGGTTAATCTCGCGGCTCTATCTCCCGCCTAATAGCGTAACGCTGTCGCGCGATAGCTCCGGTTTACAAACAGCCCTCCGTCCCCAAAATCGCCGTTGTTCCACCTCCATCCGATCATATTCCCCGAGCGGAGCATCGAAGAAGACGGAAATCGCCGTTTCCGTGCTGATGCAAGCGTAACGATGCTCGTTTGCGCGGGCACGCAGACGTTTCAGACGTTTCAGCATGCAGAGAGGGCCGCGATGCAAGCCGGGAGATCGATTCTTACGATATGCCGCGAGTTTTTCGTACGCCATCCACCTTAGCCAGCGAAAATACAAGCGCGCGTCGGTCCTGATTCGTCCGCGAGCCGTATTTTTTTGGCCTGGACCAGGTGAAAAGGCGGCACGCACGGATCGTTACCGTAGCATTTGCCGACGACAAACCCTACGCTGCTCTTCCAGCGTCAGCTTTTCCACCGCGGGACACCAGTCACTTCGTTTCGAATATTTTCCACGCGATAAAAGTCATAGTGGACTTACCACCACGATTTCTAAATCGTTTCTCCATTTAACGTGCAGATATGATGATCATTAATTTCTACAATTCTATTGCACTTTGAACTATTTCTAATGATGTCGAGGATTTCGTGGCAATCGTATTGGATAAAATTAAAATACCTGCTTCGTTGAGATACTAATCTTCTTATTAACGGTGAGGCAATCCAATACAATGTTCCCATAATCATGTCAACACCTGGAACGGAGTGGTTCCTGAGGACATTTGAAGTAAATTTTTCCTTAGCGAAAATGCAACCCGTTGCTTTGTTCACGAGTTATTAACGAAAAACGCTGACCAATGAGAGGCGAGCACGCCTACTGCTGGGCGGCCCAGCCAACGAGCGGTCGAAGCCCAGTTACGCTGATTGATTCGGCCGTCTAGCGCTTGGCGAGCTTGCCTCTCATTGGTCAGCGTTTCTCGTTAATAACTCGTAAACAAAGCAGCGGGTTGCATTTTCGCTAACGAAAGGTCAGTTCAAATGACTTCAGGAATTACACTTTTCCGGATATTGACATAATTATAGAACACCCTGTATATGTTTCACGCAATTTACGAGGGTTCCATATTAATCGTTTCGACGCTTCAATATCGCAATGAGCAAATCGCGAATGATCAATTGTGTTTACTGAACGTCGAGTCTATGTCTGAGCGGCCAAAATGACAAATTTTACGTTATCATGGAGTAATGACATCACCACCGCTGATAGACGTTTTTACATACCGAAAGATTTAGCGTTCGTGTAGATAAAATAAAACCGAACAGAGATATATCCAGGACATGTACAGAAGCAGCGATGTGTATTTTTCATTCTTTACTTACTTATTTAAGTCGAGCGCCTACTTTCAAAACATCGTCTGAAACCCAGACCGCGTATCGGTCGAAAGCGTTGTTAATTAGCTTCTTGTAGCGACCGTTTGCACAACTACAGCATGATGATCAACTCCGTCAAGGCCAAATTCATAGCCTCACCGACAACTGCTAGCAAATTAGAATTCATATGTAACATCTATGACCAGACTATAGATCGTTATGCAAAAATTGAAATTAATTAATTAATTAATTAATATAATTGTAACACCAACTTATTACTGTCATCGGATCTCGAGTAAATTCAACAAGATTTCATGTTTCAATTGTGCACCACTGTACTAAGTTCATCACAATGTATAAGTAAGTAAATAAGCAAAAGTATCTCAAAGAGAGAGATTACAGCATTTTTTATCGAGTAAATAGTGAAGCAAAGGATATCAGTATAAACCAGACTCAGAGATGATAATTGGATCGCCATATAATTCGGAAGAAGAATTTCAGACTTATTTCGAATAATATTTAAAATAACGTTATTTCAAACGTGATCACTGGCATGGAAATAATTGCGAAACAAGATACGTGTTGTCTGAAATAATATTACAACGGATGAATCTGAAATTTATTTCAAATAATATTTCACATAACATTAATTAAAAAATGATTACAGACATGGAAATAAGGATAAAATAAAATACATTTCAGATATTATTTCAAATGTGCTCAGGTCTGTCTGTCGAAAGCTCTGTAAACCTATCAATCAATATAGTCGCTCCTTCCCCAACAAATCGGTCAAGACATTCGTAATAATAAGTAATGGTAATTTATTAACAGCATTTCTTAGATACATAATAGAAGTAACGAACAAGGATTAGAAAAGTGTTGAAAATTGTCCACGAGTATCGTCGACGCCGAAGTTCCTCCGTTTCGAAAAGTCAGTTCATGGGGCCCACGAATAGTATTCACGAAATCCGGGGATCAGAAATTTCCGGTCCTCGTGAGCCAACTTTCATCATGCAGTTTCCGGCGTGGAGAAGCGAAAAGATTCTCCGTTGCGACGCGTATCCGTCAGATTATGTACAATTCTGCGGGGGAGAAGAACGGCGCAGTCTTGAGGAAGATCTTTTAATATCACGAAATAGGAGCGAGAGAGCGATGCCAGGTGAAACAGCGAGGATCGGAAACGTTACAAAAGACTGAGCTCTATTATTTACAAGGCCGACGCGGTTTACGCGGTACCGATAGAAAAATATGCGACGAGGAGAATCTCGATGCGGACTCCCTCGACTTCAAGAGGCGCTCGTCCCTCTGCTGCTCTCCACGATCCGGCGTCTCTCCCTCAGGAGTTCGAGGAATCTGGCTCTAGGACTGCCAGGGTATTTCAGTTTGTCCCTGAACTGCAGGGTCTCGTTCGAGTCGTCATCCTTCGGGAACACTTTCGAGTCACCGTCTCGAATTCTCCGCGAGTAATCGTGCGGTTCTTGGAATCCCCTAGCGTCCGACACGCGTTGCGACGAGTAGCTGCTCTTCAGAGCCAAATACTCGTCCTCGAAGGCGTCGTCGTGACTCGCGGCTCTTCTGCTCGACGAATCGTCCCGTTGCAGCCTGGAAGAATCGACGCGCAGTTTGCCTTCGATGCGGTCGAACCTCCTCAACGGCAAGAAGTCATCCTCCATCGTGGACTCTAGATCCTCGAAAGACATGCCATGGGTCTTGGCGACGGACAAATTTCCGGTGATCTCGTAGCTCTGGTCGTTCAAATCTAAACTACCCTGAAGATCGCCGTGGAAAGACTCGTCCGCGTGATTGTACTTCTCCCGGAGCTTCGAGTAAGTGACAGGGCTTCGGGGTCTGCGGTCGGAGCTCTTGGAGAACCTATTCTGAAGCCTCGTTGACGATCTGCAGCTGGTCGCGTTCGCCACGTTCATCAGCTGATCGAAGATCCTCTTTTCCAGGTCCTCCTCTTCGTTTTTCGTTCTGGTAGACTGTAGACTCGATCGGGGTGAATACTCTACGAATCGAGGGCTGGTCCAGTCTTCGGCGATGTTAGAAGTGTCCTCCCTACCACCGGAAACCACGAAGTCGCTCGTCGCAGGTGCACGATCCGTGCTAGGACTCGCTAAACCCAGTCTAGCGCCAGCAGATCCGCAGTTGACACCGTATTTCACGCGAAGCAGCTCGTTATGCCTGTCCACCCTCCGAATGCAGTCCTCTAGCCGCTGGATACCCTTCAGACAACGATCGTACGACTCCGTCGAGACGACAATGTCCTCGTCGCTGTTCAGATAATCGGCGTCGTCTGTCACCGCGACCTCTTGCCTCGGGTGGTCCAGATTCCAAGGGGAAGAATAGCTTCTTCGACGGGACCCTTGCTTCCCAACCCGTTTCTGGTGGATGGGCGATGAACACCTTCAGGAAAATCGATGGGGTTATCCTTAGCAATTGATACATGACGCAACATGCATTTCCTTCTCGGGACAGACTTTTAGAAACTAGACTTTTAGAAACAGACGGATCGGTCTATGCCCATTAACCTTAGAATTCAGATAAATAAGGATGTTGCAAATTAGCTGTGAAAAAATAACAATGTCGCTAATAATGCAAAGCACAATTTTTATTATAAGACGACATACAAATGAACTTAACTAAGAAAAGAAAGAAAAGGAAAATGTCAATGTTTTTTCAGAAAAAATAGTTCCTTCTGAACAATCGTTTAGTTTGGAAGATCCTATGAGTGGACTTATACTGAGCGTGGTCTTATACTGTGCCTGAAGGAAACGTAAAGCTGTACTAATTTCTTTACTATCAAAGATTACTTAAGGTGCTGACCATGAAAATATGTATATCTAAAGATTGAGAATATGGAAACTATATCCCTTAACACCTTGATACATGGGTGACGGAATTATTTTCTCATATATGAAAATTTATTTTTTACGCCGATGTATTATATCTTTCTAATGTCATTGAATTCTAATAACTAAAACAGAAAACAGTTTATGCCATTTAACTTGACATTTAAATTTTAATTGGACTAAATAAAATACTTCTACTTTATAAAATCTTATTCCATTATCTCCAATAAAATTTTTACTGAATCATGAAGCGACCATTTTATCTCCGTCAATTACAAGTGGAACAACTAAACTGGAAAAAATAATTATATCTCTCACCTGTCGAGCATGCCAGCGACATTGATGGATTCATTGATTGAGTTTAGGTTCCGCATGAAAGTCACAGCCTCGCTAAGGTAATCTTCAAGGATCTTCTTGGCCACGTGGTTGCGGGGAACATCCTCCTCTTCGTCCTCGGCGTTCTCGCAGCTGTCAGACTCACTATTTTCGGAAAGATTCCTCACTGAGAACTTGACCTTCTTATGGTTCTGCTTTGCATCCATTTTCGAATCCAGCAAGCCTTCCTTAGACGGTTCTTCAACATCGCTAACCTTGTCCTTCCAATCGTCCTCCAAAATGAGACTCTTCTCATCGTGTTGCGAATCATCGGTCTCATCGTTGGACGATGGAACACTGCTTACAATCTCTGCAATGTTCCTCTTCTTCCTCTTCTTGATGATAGACTTCAAGGTAGTCTTTGGACCCTGCTTCGAAGATTCTTTTTCCAAGGACACTTTATTCTCAGCCTCGCCACTGTTCGAAAAGGATACCTTTTTCTTCCCACTGTTGATCACACGATTAGAGTCTTCAGGTTCCTCGTTCACGTCTTCGTAGTTGTAACAGCGTCTGCCAAGGATGAGGTCCTTGTAATCGTGCACCTGAAGAACTTCTGCTACATCCGACGGCTTCATCTTCGGAAACTCTATCTGACTTTCCTCGAAATCCGCGGGTTCGTTGCTCTCTGCTTCGGAAGTAGAGACCTTGGGACAGTCTTTCTTGGTGTGCGCCACCACGTCGGGCGGACAGAGGCTCTCTCTTTGATCGCAGTCGGCCATCTTCAGCACCGTCTGGCCTAGCGCATTGTTCTCGTTATAGTCCAAGCTGTCGTCCGAGAAACTGTGATCATGTTCGACAGTGCCGTTCTCGAAAGCCGGTAGTTTCATCGACTCTCCTTGAACTTCGGGCTCCATCTTCGAACAGTTCGAGCAAGACGAGGCCAACCCAGCGACCTCGCCGACCTGCGAACCTTGCCACGAAGAAGCCGCGAATCCATCGTTGCACCCAATGCTCTGAATCTTAGAATTCATAGCTGCCGGAACAGACCACTTCCTCCAAGGATCGTCGCAAACGTCTCTGCCAAAATCGAACCTCTTCTTCGTAATGAACGCCTCGGTGATTAAACCGTCCCTGATGAACCCGTCGCCTTGTCTTCTTGCTCCAAACCCTCCAACTTCGCCGTCCCGAACTTGGGATACGTACGAAGTCCCGAGAGAGTTCCTGAAGGTGATGGAATTCCTCATCCTCGGCCCATCCACTCTCCCCCCTGTCGCATCCACCCTTCTAGAAACGTTGTTAGGGTCCTGAAAGATATTTTCAATCCGGAACACTCTGCTATCCGTTTGACTGAGCGTTGATCTACTGTCGTCCTTGAAGCAGACAGCCTCGCCTCTAGTGTCCTTGATCTCCTCGGTCTGAACCTCGCCGTCCTTGGTCCTCGACTTGGCCCTCTCCTGCTCCAGGCTGTCCATCACCGCTATCCGGGACTCCAAGACGTTCGTGCTCTCAATGGTGATGCTGATGGTGTCTGGCAGCGATATGGAAATCACGCTCTTCTCGGGGCTACCTATCGACGAATGATTCCTAGTAGGCTCTTGGACCGAATTGCAGCATTGTCGCATGCACGGAGGTGCCTTGGTCTCTATCCTGCGCGGATAGAGACTGTTGGGTCTTGGAGTCTGGACCGCGGAGCTCCTGCAGGACGAGTACAAAGTGTTGGTAGAGCTTTCAACGTGCATCGGTCCGCGATCAGTTTCTTGGCAGACGTCGGACACCTCTGTACTGGACAAATTGCTCTCGGCATAGTTCTGCGTGTCATCGGAAAGGATTCCCGAATCGTGTCGCGGAGAATGCAACTCGTACTCGAACTCTTCCAGGTCATTGGCAAGGCTGGCCACGTCCTTGCACCTGACGATGCTCGTCTTTGGCTTGTCAGTCGAGGTGGCTATCTCCTTCACCCTCAATACAGGCGTCTTACTTTCGGCGACGATCTCGCAGTCCTCGTGATTGTCCGTCAGCACTGCCACGTCCTGGATCTCGGGGTTCTCCGTCAAGGACGCAGTGTCCTTCATGCGGATGGTTCTCGAGCAGTCGGTCTGCGTGTCCACGCAAACCCGTCTTCGCTTTCCCAGCATCTTCCTCGAGATCTCCTGCAGCTTCATCCTAGCTAGAGATTTTACCTCCGTCCCTTCTGGTGGTGACCTGATCCCAGAAGCATCTTCCGGGACTTTCTTGCTGGAGTACAGCCTCTCGGTGACCGCCGCTACGATCTGAGCCCTCTTGACACGCTGGATAGGAGTGTGAGATCTCGTGGAGGACGATTCCTGCTCGATCGAGTCGTTTGTATGCAGTAGCTTCTCCCTTGTTAGACTGGAGATCGAGATCTGTTCGTCTTTGGAGCTGCTGGAGCTGCTGTCCTTGCTGGTCTTCCTCTTCAAGTTCTCCAAGCTTGGCTTCCTCGCATTCTTCGACTTACCCGAGCCACAGTCCTTCAAAGACCTGTCCGAGTCGTTGCTACCCTTCCTCTGCAGCGGCTCTTTGCTGCTTGACCAGAAACTCTTAGTGGCGAGCTTTTGGTCCTCTATCTCACGGATGTTATTCAACTTCTTAGCTCTATCCGGGACGACTCGCCTCTCTAAGTTCGTGTGGGACCTCTCCAACGGGAATAATGGCTCCTTCTTCCTCTGGATTGCCTCTACAGATCCGAATCGTTTAGAAATGTGAAGATTCGAGGGTATCGGGACCGAGAGCAAGTCCACCGAGTCTTGCTTCCTGAACTTTGGTTTTTCCTTAGGCGTGGACGAGGATTTGAAGATGTCCGTTTGGAAGACGTCTAACTCGTTGTCCACAGAAGCTTGACAAGAGTTCACCGAACTGCTCCTATCGTCATGATCGAGGCTCTCTAGTTTCTCTTGGTCGTCGAACCCTTCGTGCTCCGCTCCGATGAATTCAACGTCGATCCCGTCTTCGGCTACCTCGTCCGAGCAAATCTCCTCGATCTGCGTCGACGATTCCTGTAGATTATCGTCCGGCTTGATCAATACTGCCACCAAAGTCGGGATGTCGACGAACACCGACTCGTGGATCTCGCTGACTTCGTTCTCCTCGTCGTTCAACTCTGTCACTCGAGCGCGGTTGTAGGCCCTTTCGAAGCGATTCTTCGAAGGCAGAAGTTCATACGAGCCGAATCTCTTCAGGGGACAACCGGTGTCCAATGTTGACAGACTCTCAGTTGATGTGGACCTCCGGAAAGGCAGATGACTTCTACGTAGTTGTTGTTCTTCTCGTTTCGAGTGCCTGTCGGATTCTTCCCTCTTGAAGTCCGCATCTGGGACCTCGAATGGATCGATTAATGTTTTCGATTCTTTTTCTGGAGATTCGGGACTGTCGGGACTTGGCGGTTCATCCTGAATCCTCTGACAGGAGCACAATGCTTTGATCGGCTCTGCGTTCTGTGGAAAAGAAGCAATGGATTAATTGAAGGATCATCAACTAAGTGCTGGTTGCACTATTAAGTGAGTGTATACAGATAGTATTAGATGCTATTAGAGCTAATTGGAAGGGACTGATTATTCTGTTCTTTTAGACAATCGTTTCATTGCATAATACTTGACACGTTTAGTGAACCCCAAAAATTCCAAAAAAATTAATACACCTGTTTAATGGAATTGTAACTAGAAAATTAACGTTTATCGTAGTGGATGGCACTTTAACTATTTAACATTGTAAACATTCTAGTAAAATTCTGGTTTCTCAAATATATTACAATAAAAGTGAATTTTGAAAAATAGTCCGTGACCGAGGCAGGCACTCAACGTGATGAAACATAAGGTTTCCTTCTCGCAATCTGTTTAGGTGCGTCGTATTAGCACCCGATATCGTCACTCCGCGATTTAAACAATCTCTCGGGTCGTAAAGCCGATTACGCTGCGCGACGGAGTAGATCGATATCGTTGTCCGTTTAATTAAAAAGGGACAACTGTTTGGTTGACTTAGAATGTGCCGTTCGACAAGCGTGAACAATATTATGACTGGATAAGTGTGAACTGGGCAACTGACAGCTGATCGATGACCGACGAATGACTGAAGACTAAATGACGATGAACTGACGAGTGATCACTGACCAAGAGAAAAATCGGTTTCGAGTTTTTATACTGTTTCGTGGACAGAAGACTAGAAATTNAACTGAGCAACTGAGCAACTGAGCAACTGAGCAACTGAGCAACTGAGCAACTGAGCAACTGAGCAACTGAGCAACTGAGCAACTGAGCAACTGAGCAACTGAGCAACTGAGCAACTGAGCAACTGAGCAACTGAGCAACTGAGCAACTGAGCAACTGAGCAACTGAGCAACTGAGCAACTGAGCAACTGAGCAACTGAGCAACTGAGCAACTGAGCAACTGAGCAACTGAGCAACTGAGCAACTGAGCAACTGAGCAACTGAGCAACTGAGCAACTGAGCAACTGAGCAACTGAGCAACTGAGCAACTGAGCAACTGAGCAACTGAGCAACTGAGCAACTGAGCAACTGAGCAACTGAGCAACTGAGCAACTGAGCAACTGAGCAAGAGAAGAATCGGTTTCGAGTTTTTATACTGTTTCGTGGACAGAAGACTAGAAATTGGTTGGTCAGTGACGCGATGGAAGGGCGACCGAAGCTGTGCGTGCTAGCAACCCTGTCATAAAATATGCTGCAAAACTGCAGAAGTGGCTTTATTGCCGGAAAGAAGATGGCTCGAAAATTCATAAACTTAGAAATTGCAAGAAAGAAGGCTATGGCTCTACGAAATTGAAAATCTAACGAACGTGACCCTTTGTCGATTGCATGTCGTTCGTTGAAGGACTGTTGATTAGTCTCGTTGAGCCGAAGATTCCCCGTCAATAAATGTTTTTTGGGGATACAAGGAAAAGCTAATTCGTCCCGGAGAAAGTTAGACGGATGCAGCCCGAAAATTCCGTCGAAGGACGGAACACAATCACTCACGTAAAATTCGACATCTGTGCGTAGCAATCGAGGATATTATTAATCATTTTTCTCGTAAAAGCCATTTGAAAGTGGTCCAAACAAAACTCGAATCAATTTATCGTGTCCGCGTAAAAATTTATTTAAGAAATCCATGGTTTCCGTTGCCAATTTAAAATCCTTTGAAGCGTTGTTGCTGCGTGTGTTCCGACATAGACCACAGGCCACTTCACGAAAACCCATTAGACGCGAATAAATGTAAAAATGACCTGCAGACCTTGTTTGACAATCGTGACGGCCGAACCCTCTAGCATTTCAATAATAGGGGATTTCCGAGCATCGAGGAGGGCCCGGGAAAATCATTATCCCAGCGACCAGCGTTTACATAAAGTGCTCGCGATAAACAAGCCGCAACAATGGCTCTTTTCGCGCTCGGACTCGACAAACGGCGGCGTCGTGTTACATCGCGCAGTTGGGGGGGGGAAGCGCGAGGTGGGGTGCAAACAGAAAAATAAATTAGCAAATACTCCGTGAAACAGGGCGAGAGGTCCCACCGGGGAAATTGGGGGGAGGGCGTCTATTTATAATCGGAGCTGATTTGCAATCGACCGATTACAAAATGTGCCCGATGGCAAGCCTCTAGAACGCGCGAGGATCGCTCGGCGCGAACACCGCAGCACCGGTCCGCGCGTCGCGGCTCCGGCGTCGATAAATCGCTCGAGTTTATTATCGGTATAAACTCGCGCCGAAACGTCATTACGCAAATGAAATGCATGGATCGTTTATTTGATACTCATTGACCGACCGCCGGTGGTTCCGTTCCCGGAACGTTACGAACGAGCGAACGAACGAACGATTGCTGATAAAATACAGTTCGCAGGTGCGTCCGCTTAATAAGTGATCCGCATTACCGCCCCATTTCCACGGCCGAAGGCGGATTTTACAATATCCTTCGGTTTCCAGCGCGCGTGTTGCACAATCGGCCGTCGACTGGTCCGCTCGAATTTCTCTTTATGATATTGTTACATCGGCCAGTGATTTTCGCTTGTCGAGAGCCTACCGGCGCCGAGCGTACACTTTGACGTGCTGTTTCGAACGCTTTCATCTCGGTAATCGCGAATTGATGGCAGCGACCAGCAAGATTTAACCGAATGACGAAGATGTATCAACGCGCTGGATCAGCGTTTCGATTCCATCGATTTCAAGATCCAATTATGCACGTCCTTCGGAGACGCTCGGGAAATCGTGATCGTAATGAAGTGTCTGCTACTGCAGCCACTGCTAGCGGACACTTCATTTCGCACTCACGAAGTCGTCGCGTTATATAATACATCCAATCTCTATGCAAAATAAAAGTTCTTTGCATCGGTTGCAAGAGATAGGATAGTCATATTTATTTTTTTCTTAGTAATTTATTTTCGTGTTGAGGTTGTTCCAATATTCTATTCTCTCTATTGTCCTTATCATAAGAGTGTAAAATCTACAAGCTAGTTATCATTCGCGTGTCGTATACGGAAATGTGTTGAAAATAACACAGATACTAGTACAAAAGCTTCGAGTAAGAATAAACAAGTGCATTCTAAAAGATCGTCATCATCTTGTAAGATCGTTAACTAACATGAGTTCTTAAATGATAAATGTTCGTTGTATTCATTTTAGAAATTTTGTATGTTAATTGCAAGAGAACACTAAAAAGTTTCTTTCTGTCTGTAATCATTTCAACCCTTTGCACTCGAAGCTACTTTAACTGCAAAACCAACATATTTCTTTCGACCTAGAATATTTCAATACTATATGATTTACTGCATTTTATGGATATAATAATATTAAGGATATAATAATTATGGATATAATAATTAATATTATTGGCTTAGACAACAGCCACGTTTTCAACAGTTACTTTTTTAATAGCGTAAAAATTATTTTTGAAAAACGACATAGTTTATATTCAATGGTTCTGCAGATTAACCATTCGAGTGCAAAGGGTTAACAAATCGGAAGTAAAATATGGAGTTATAAGTAGATAGATAACTCTAGTTATAACTACACTACGAATTTTATATATTTATAATTCAAATGAATAGCTGCAATTTGTGAAACGATAAAGATTGATATGATTTAAAAACAAAGATTCATTACGCGGAAGTCATTGAAGTTATTAAACAAAGAAAGAATTTCCTCCTGTTGTTTGCAACAAATGTAAAAAATTTCTTATTTTGCATAAAAATCCGTAGTCTAATTATAACATTTCATAGCAATCATAGCATTTCACTTCCTGGACGGTTCGAAAAGATGTTTAATTCGGTGGCACGACCTTACCTTCTCTGACAAAAGGGACTTGAGCCTGGCGACCTCGGCCCTCAGCTCTCGGATGACCCTGGCCACGGGATCCTCGTTGACCACCGGTCGGTTGACCACGCTTTGCGCTCTCTGCGCGAATCGCAGAGTGTGGGCGGTCTCGTTGTAGCTGCCGCTTGCCGGCGATATGGCTGGAAAACGGGAAGCAACGGTGCAGAGAACAGGTGGTAATTAACAGGTACGCGTTCACCGCTGTGACCACGAATCGACAGCCCGCGAACAACCGAACGTCGTCGGCCACTTTCGTTACCGCGGCTCGTATTTTTCTCGCGTGGCGACGAGAAACGATGCGGAAGATCACCATAATCGAGTACGATCTATGGCCCAACCAACGAGACGAGTCGATACATAAATGGAAACAAAGAGGCTGCGTAATATTCGCATATTCAACGCTGACGACTGCGGTTATTAGCTGTTAAAAGTCGGGTTCGGAATAAATTTCCACTGGTTAGAAAAAATTATTACTTTATTTAAATTATTAATTAAAATTAATAATTAATTAATCATTTCTATTAAATGTGCACATCGTAGTAACTGGACAGCAGATGTTAAGCTCTTATGATAAAACTGATTAAGTAAAATGCTGAACTGTGAAGTTATTTGTCATATTGTTAATTGCGATTAATAGTTACATTAGGAATTGTTGCAATATTTTCAAGTTATTACAATTATTGAAAGAAGAGAGATATTTGCAACTAACTTCGGTTTCTTACAGTTAACTTTAACAACTTTGATTTTGCATGAATATCCGCAGTATAGTAATTACTAGATTTTATGCATTTATGTTAAAGATGACCAAGGAAAATATAGAACTCTAAGAACGTTAGAAAAATTGAAAAATGTTTCTACGTTTTTCTCAATTTATTGGAATTATTACATTTAATATAATTAGCTTAGAACGTGTTTATTGTGAATAGTTATTCGCTGTTTAGTAATTACTGTGCGTTTGTTTATACTGATTTATCTCGTTGGATAGACTATGGAACCGATTCTAAACTTCCTCGACCCTTTCTTCGATCGGTTACAATGCGACCAATCGATTGATCGTTGATCTTCGCGTGAACAGAGTGCAATCACGCTGTGCGCAGTCTTCTTGAAGTAAATTATTTCATTCCTTTTGTTACTCTTTTATTTAATCTTTGCCTCGAAATCTATTGAAGTGAAACTCGCGAACGTTATTAAGTTGCCACAAAAATTTTAGTTTGTACAGGAAGTGGTATCTTTTTACATCTTTTACACCTGTCGTACACAGGTAAAGGCTGATATTTACAATCAGATTCCTCGAAAACACGATAAACGATTTTATGATATACTTCAAAAGTATTTCAAAAAGTCCACTAACAACCGAAGACCAATTACAATCTAACGTGCTCACAATGTTCTTAGTGCATCTAAACATTTGAAAATCTACATTTTCCACAATTTGTGCAGTTTCGTTAATCGCTACTTTCTCGTTCTCTTTAATTTTTAAACACTAAAAATACAATACCCTCAACAGGTTAACCTAATGTTCTTTTTTTTTTTAAATCTAGTAGAGAGCATTCTGTCGTTCACAGCAATTTTATATACAAGGTGGCGCACTAAGATCTGTCACCCGAATCACTTCTTAGCCAGCTTTTCTGTATAAAAATGTTTCAAACAGAAGTTTGTAGGGTATGATACATATAATTCCAAGGTATAATTGTTGTCTACATTTCTTCTTTTTTTACCGAGATTTCAAAATCACTTGGAAAACGTGTGCTGATAAAAACGTGCAACATTTTTAGCATCCTCTACATTGTACATAAGTTAATCAGTATTTCGTTAATTACTGGATTTTGGACCTATATTGTGATATAGTTTTTTACCTAACTTTACATATTTTTTTCCAGTAATAATTTTATACGTTACGATTGAAAAATTCGAAGTGACCTTCAGATCTCTATGAAAAAGCAATACCGATAGAAATCAATTATATTAGCGTATGCCCGATTTCATATGCTACAACTCTTGTTTGAAACGTTTTTCTGGAAGAAACGGTTTATTGGAAGGACCCGAATCTCGCGGGTAATTATAAATAAATAAATACTCCAAATGGATCGCATTGACCCGCCCACAGGCTTCTAGCATCGCGAAGATAAATTTGCATGAAGCCCCGCGGTGTGCTAATTGAATTCTACGGAACGATCAATTAAATACTCGTCCGCCTCGATTCTTGAATCGAATCGAATCGAAAAAGAGCGTGGCCGACCGACCGCGTGTCCGACGTGGGAAAAATCAGGAAATTCGATCGCCTACGTTCGATCTTCCGCGAAACGAGAAAACGTCAGTTCGGCGGCCGGATTTAATTCGACAAAGTGCCATCACCCGAAAGCTTGATCCCTGTCCATGTTCCCGTTTTCTCTCCCCGTTCCATGCGCGGTCAATCATAAACGCAGACACTGAATATTAAACGTTCCCCGTCCGTCTCTCCCCTGCTCGATAATAAACCCGAATGCTATTAGCAATTCAATTAGCCGTCGATGATCAGCGGTTTGGAATATTTCGCCGCGATTAATTATACGCGTCCTGTCCCGGCCCTAGGAATATTCGGGGACTCTTCCGTTTCCGCGACACACGCGCACACATCTGCGAACAGAGAGGCCGGTCGGTAATTGGCTCCCGTGGTTTTTCTAGTCCAGCCTGGTAATTGTATCCACTAATGTATCAGGGCGACGCGCGACGCGACGCGACGCGGCGACCCGCGCTGGCCCGCGGGGCCGAATAATCCGAATTAAACGCGGCTCTAGTTATTGCAACGGCGAATTCCCCCGTGGCGATCCAGCAAAAACCCGCCACTGCGTTGCGCACGCTACGTACAGGATTTTCTTATATCGGGTGGCCTGAAAATCGCGGCCAACGAGGAGCTGTATGTATGTAGAACTCGGGAAAGCGACGGATCTCCGGTCTTCCCCGCTCGGAATTCCATTTTAAATCGCTTATTTTGTGAACACATAGCAAAAGTAAATGTCTTCGAAAACCATCGAAAAATTGTAGAATGATTAATCATTTACAGTGGCCCACGAAAGTACTCGCACACCTTTTAAAACGCAATAGCTTTTTCTCTTAAAACTGGACTAAGTGACGGTCTAAGTGCGGTATAATAAAAATTCCAGTTGATCATACTTCATGACTGTATGAGAAAGTTGAATAGCTGTTATTTGAAGCAGAAAAATTCGAAGTATTTCAGAATAGCTGCTCATTATTTTCAGCTCAGTGAAACCGAAGAATGAATGAAATTTCTGAGCGGCAGAAATGCTTGCGAAACGTTCCAAATTTTTGGAAATTCCTACATGAGGACGCGGCTTACGCCCGAAAGCCTCAACGGTAAGAACTGCGTGAACTGCGTAAGAAATAAACTCAAATGCATATTATTTTGTCACGTAAAAAAACGACTACTTGTCTATCGTGTGCTTTTTGATTTGTATAAACGGAACGTACGTCTCGCGTTACAGGGTGTCCCACTGTAATTAAATGTAAACGTAGGAGCAGAACGAATTTACACCATTTATTGCCGGTACTCGGCTATGATGTTTCAGAAATTCGTGATTAAATAGGGAATCCCGAAGGATTTGCTGATCGTCAAAAAAGCGTTCGTTGGTACCAAGAGAATTCTTTGGTGCTGGCACAATCCGCAGCGCAGAAGTGCGCTCATTCATCTCCGGCGTTACCACGATTTCCAGTCGACCCTGCGGAGTAACATACACAGAACAAGAGACTCCGCTGTGTACCTAGGTATGTACTTTTCTACGGTGCGGTGTCTAACTACGTTTAAATTCTACAAGATTTACGGCCGACCCGTTTGCGGAAGTTTACTACAGCAGTTCTTCGACCAAGACACCAAAGACGTCCGTTGTTGCTCCGCCGCCTCTGCCGCCGCCGCGCCGGCGCGCGATTTATCGCGACCGAAACGTACAATATGAAAGCTACGTGTGAAACAGCGTGATCCAATCTTGTTAATGGTACACATGTTCATCTACCAGTAAAATCTACGTTGCCTCGTTGACCCAACGATCATCTATTAGTGTGACGCTACGGGATTATGTATGTACAGAGAGCTGGAAAAATAGTATCTGGGACTTTATGGGTTTGTAGCGCTCGACGGCGAAGTGTTTAATCAACGTACGCTTAATCACTTACTGCGTCATCATCGTGGCAGGATTGTTACTTTTCGAGCTGTAGAATGTCTTGCATGTTACTACTTGACCTTGAGTTTCAAAAGTTAATTTTCTTAATTCTATAACTTTTTCTAATTGCATATTTTAATTACGATCTATTCAAGTTCTTTAATTACATCGAATTCTACGGATTGTTGTAAAAGGATCTATGAGCGTTCTGTTACTAAATTATGAGAATGTTGTCGTTGTCAGTTGAACGTCATTCACACTGATTCTACACGAAGGAATGGGTTAAATATTTGATACGAAATTTTCATGGTAGTAAAACCGGTGTGCTACGATTTTTGTCGACATTGTAAAATGTTTTTCCTAGCGTTAGCTACGTTTTATTTCTATTTACTATTACTTTTCATATTTTATCGCATTGTATTTCTACATTTTCAGAGGTTAGCGCTTATATTTTTCGCCCGCATTAAAATAATTATTTACTTATTGTTTAGAATGTTTTTCCATTTACTCTGCCAATGATACCTCAATACTGCAATTTTATGGTCTTCTTCTAATTGCGCTATGCGTTCTTCGAAACGAACTTACCACTTACTTTCAAAAAATCCGACGATTCAACATGATAAAACAGCAGATCTTAATTGTCCCTAATTTCTTTCAGCCGTTAATTAAACACCTTCAGCCGCGCGTCCAGTGAGAACTACAAACTGCTAAACCCGCAGAGGCGTCCCTCTACCGCATCGTATGTACAATCGAGGCTACGTCGGCACAAGCTGAGATAGGATTATTCGTATTTACCGAATTCCGGTTACTACAGTTTTTCGCGCCGGTTATTGAATAATAATCTGGCCGCGCCTTAGCTCGCCTGGAAAAGCATTTAAACCAATTACGATCCTGGCGCTCGGTCGGCGCTCCGGTATCGCGGGCACAATTTCATGAATCAGAGGCTCGCGATAATAATTCTCCTCCGGCAATTAACCGGAATTTATGGAAAGCCGGAGCACAAGAGAGGGGGAGAGAGAAAGAGAGAGGAAAAGAGAGAGAGGGAGAGAGAGAGAAAGATACAGAGAGTTAAGCGTCGGACGTTCAGGATACTGCGGGGGTGTGGGGAGAATAGGGAGGGGGATGGAAATGCGACGTCCAATTTTTTTTCAAGCCCACTTAAGTCGTCATCCCGAATTAAATATCGCAAGTTAGCCGAGGGGGGGCAACGAAGGAGGCGAGGGGTAGAAAAAAGTGAAACGCAGGCGACTCCGTTTCAAAATGGATACGGGACGTATCCGTGGGAGAATCTGGGACGAGAGTAAAACGGATTAGCGAGCGGGAGACGCGGGGGTGTAACAAGGGGGTAGAGATAGAGAGAGAAAAAGAAAGCCGCTCGTTGGACGTGTAAATCATCGTTTAATGGATGGATGCACCAGAGAACGGGGCCTTCCAAGAATAAATGCGACGCGATGGAACAGGTGGACGTGGCCGTGGCGAGGGAGGCGGTTCGGAGGACGGGGGAAAGTGAGAGCAGAAGAAGGGAAGATCAAAGGGAAGACACTTACTGGCGAGCATAATGGTAGTGGCATTTCCGCCAAGTGCGTCCTTCAACAGCCAAGTAAGCGCGGAATCTCTGTAAGGGATGAACCTTCTGCCTGGACCACTTCCGGTCGAGCCTCTCTCCGCGAGGGCTGATATCACGTTCCCTAGAGCCACTAGACTCTTGTTTATGTTCGCACCCTCCTGGAAGAAACACAAGCTTCTTTTTCGAAAATTTACATGCTTTATGGTGTTCCTCGCGTCAACGGTGTAACACACGTCTCACAGAATCTTTACAATAATCGCGGTTCGGAGAGGAACGACCTAATAGAATATATAATATACTGTTATACTATAATATATATATTGTTCATATAATATAACAATAATATTGTTCAGTAAGATCTGTAACATTAATTTGTACATCAGTGTAGTGTACAAATCAGAATTGACGTTATCACGTCGATATTATTCTAAGAGAGCTGCTTTACTAATAAGTTGATATATCCCTGAACACGATTCCAGGATTTTTTTAATGATAATAACTTCTTTCAATCCATTACTGGCTGAGGCCCCACGCAACTTTAGATAAGTCATCATCAATATACTTTCATGTAATTATTTCAAAATTCATGTTATTAACTCATCAAGTTTGCAGTGTTTCAACGTAAATTTACTTGGACTTATTAATTTGGAGACATGCAATATTCATTTAAATAATAACCGGCAGTACTTGACAGTCCGATTAAGGGTTAAGATGTCGTGCAAAATACATCAAACGGCCAGTGAATGGACAAATATTTTTAACGTACGAACAATAATACTCCGATGAATGGTATTATACAAACACGATAATCATCGTTTCATTGAACACACCTAAGGATACAAATGATATGTTTCATGTTGCCAATAGTTACATTGACCGCATTAGATGTCGTTGAATGCTAATTAACACTTCGACTGCCACGCCAGCAACATAAAAAATTTCATAAAACTCAAATCTTTTAGTTTGTCCAATTAGAATGAAGAACATAAGTTTTATAGGATCATTTACTTTTTCAACATCCTTACGTTCTACGGATTTTTTACGCAAAATCAAAATTTTCATCGCCGAATATATCAAATAGAAATTAGACAAAAATGTATTTCTTCTTTTAATGATGTTAACACAGTAAAAACAATGCTGCAGTATTTTCAAATTCTTCTTTTTTCTTCACCGTTCGGTGTTTCATTTATCAATTATTGCTATAAGTGGGGTGAATAAATAACTCACGGCAGTCAAAGTGTTGAACGAGAAAAGTGTAAAATTTAAATACTGTATAAATTTTAATGTGATAAGCTATAGACCTTACCAACACCGGGCAACGATCAAATTACAAATGACGGACGAATAAGTCACTAGAAAAATTAGGTACATTGAAAGGAGCCATGATGCACCCTGGCCCGAAGTACATGTATCAGGTTGCAAAACGTCAAATCAAAGACACGATGGAAAAATCAAATTCACTTTCCAGTAAAAGATATGCGCTTCTCGTTCTGTAGAACTTGTCCGGTTACTGCAGCGAGGTCTTCAATTTTCGAAATGACTCGATGCCTATCGATCTCGGTCGGTTCACGGCTGAGCAAAGTCGATATTATTTTTAGGTGAGTGACTCACCTTGAGCCGGTGGATGCCGCTGCACGTGGCCGCGCTTTCGCTACCCGCCAGATCGACCAAGCGTAGTTTACTGCCACCGCGTGGTGGTGATAATGAACCGTCTGGCCTCCGCGCGGAGGATGAAGCGGAGGCGGATGAAGCGCCGACCGCGACGCTCGACTCCGGGATCAGAGAGATCGTCAGCAGTGCGTGGCTGCGGCTGCTGCTAGGATTCTGCTGGGTCGACGCTGTCTTCCTGGCCTTCGTCCCTTCCTCCACGTAGGACATCAACGAACCCAGGGTGCGAACCACGTGGTGGGTCAGTCCTGCAAAAAACGGCCACCTAACAGTTTGCATTTATTACAGGTTTCCTCGTCCAGAACGCTGGCGCTGTTTTCTATCGCAAACTGGGCCAGAAATCGGGTCAGAAGCAAGGTCATGGATACACCGAACGAAGGATCGATCTCATTTCATCTTAACATTGACACATTCGCTACCACCGCCGTAAATGTGCGGTGCGTGTTCTTTATCAGTTTGTGATATCCGGACTGCGGATTTTATGCGCTTTTGTTCGAAATGAGTGGATCCATTGCAAACTAGAAAAAACATTTCAAAAATTTGAAAATATTGTTGCGTTATTGTTTATCTGTTGAAGTTAGTGAGGAGAGAAATGAACTTTGTTGTTGCTCCTGCGACTTGCAATTATTGGATAGACTTCTTATTTTGCACAAAAATTCGCAGTCTGACGATAACATATTGCAACATGTATCGAAATGAACAGTATTATTGAGTTAAGAGACAAGTAAATAGATGTAGAATGTTCTTGGTCTGGAGGTAATTATGATTTTTAGTTCTGTAATTAATTAGCAATAGTTCGTAATGAAATTGTTTACTTCTCCTTATTTGGTATTCTGTAAATATACTCTTGAAAGACCTGTGCCACACAGTTCAGAGGCATATTATTTATTACTAGATTTAGGACAAGACTTTGCTTTTGTTTCTTCTTGTTGTGAAAGTGAGTGTTTACTCGTACGTATAAATAAATAAATATTCCAACAAAAAACATCTTTGGCCGTGATCCAAGATTTTCTTCTCAGATCCTGATAGCGAACGTGTTAAAGCTACCAAGCAGCAATAGTGATGTTTTCGTACAAAAAGATTAGGAGAACGAATTCATTTCGATTTTGAAAATCCTTATTACAGAACATGCTGGAATAACGCAATTTAAGCGTTCTAAAGTTTGTATAGGTAGGTAGTATACTGTGGTAGTGCTACTTTGATTTACTTAGTTTAGTGTTACTTTGAAGAGAAACCGTTTCATCAATCCAACATGCAGAAGTCGTGTCCAAGAACTAGACAACAAACCTATTTTTCTTTTTTTGAGAAATCAGTAGTGCGATCCTGATTTTACCAACTGATCTAGTCAACCTAAACTCTGTGTCACTAGCTATATTAATCTCATTGAATCAAATCGAGTAGTTTGTGTATGTCGAACTTTTAAAACTAAACACGTTCTCTGTGGTCGTGAAATGTTGGTCTTGAATTGTTTTCCAACGTACTGATAACAGGATTTTCAATTTTCTAGCAGGACCAACTCAAGCGAACTTTCCGCTAACAGCGCTAATAGTTCCAGCGAATTCCACGAAGCTGTTGATTCGTGCCGCTCTGAAATCCCGTAACCTTTCCGAAACTGTCACAACTCCTCCCATGTGACGAAGCTGCGGAAACAGATTCGATAAAATATTCATTTGACGTGACGCCTGCGTCGTCAGCCGTTAAGGTGTCAGCTAGCTATTCACCTTGGGGGAGGCGTGACTCGAAAATTGACCCAGTTGTATCGAAACTCTATGCATGAGATACGGGGGATTTGGAGCAGGCTGGTGGATCGTGGCAGAAGGTGAAAGACGGAGAGAAGGACGGAGAAAGCGCGAGAAAGAAAGAAAGAAAGAAAGACAGAGAGAGAGAGAGAGAGGAAGAAAGGATCGGAGTCAGTGAATTTTGTCTTTGATAAAAGGGGATTGAGCGGAATTGGAAAGGAAAATCGAAATATCGTACATCGTTGGGGATATATAAGTGGGAGTCAGTCTATCAAGTTCAAGGGAACAAGAGAACCGAAAAGAAATCTCAGCGTGTTACACGAGAGAATCCCAGATCGGAAGTGCAAGGAATCGACTGCGAGATCTCGAAGAAATCCCGGTAAGGTTACAAAGAAGCTAGAACGGGGTTAGTAGGAACGGGGAGAGGGGTAAGTTTCTCCCCCGAAGATCGCAATTATCCGGGACTAGGAAGCCGAGCGTCTCCGATTGCCGATACCTTGAACGTAAGGGCCGAGTCGAGGATGCTCGCGAACTCTCAATCCGCTCGCGCTCGAGGACGGCTTCAGGAGGTCTCTCACCCTCTCGTTGTATATCTCCAGATAACTGAAACAGAATATAGCCGGCGTTACGCTTCAGCCATTTGATTGATTGCGTTAATTTAACGGGCCGTGCTGATGGATCCGCTCTCTCTCTCGACTGTTACAACTTCGAGAAACTCGTTCGTTCGCACGGAATATCGAAGCCGGTCGGATTCTTCGAGAGATCTATTCGCCGAGGCACGCGGTGTTTCTGATTCGATTTTTCACTGATCGGGGAAGAGGAAGACAGTCAAGTATCAGTGGGGGAGGGGGCGACCTGTTATTAATTGGCAGCGATCGGTCCTGCCACTTCAGGACAGCGGACTTCGGGATTGGCCAGTCTGAAGAGAAAAGACAGAGTTACAGTAAAGTATCGATATATATAATCTATATAATCAGGATTTGTCCTGTTATGTTTAAGCACTCCTATCTTTTCGAAGTTTTAACGAAAGCATATTTTGTTTACCTTGGTCACAACTTGGGAACATATAGTGATTTTTTACTGCAGTTGTGTAAGTGTTATTCGTTTGTGTTGAGCAATGTGTTTGATTCGATCTTGTGTTGTCTAAGAATATAAGTAGAGCAGCGATGAATTATAATACGTAGTTCAAACCAAATTAACATACCATTTTCTTCGCAGTTACTGCGATTAGAAATTTTTCGATTGCAATAATTTCTTAGAAGGATATGAAAATTGATGCTTATTGTGTGCCTAAATTTACTCGAATGCTTAAATATTGATGATAAGAGATTAGAATGTTATTCCAATTTTCAAGGACAGAATAACATCTATACCGAATAAGTTATTACTAGAAATTTTCATGACAAGTCGGACTCGTCAAAGTACTGTAAGAGGTTATGAAAGGATTACAGTAACGACCCGCTGCATGTCCATGACTTTTGTTTATTGTCCGATAAAGATTATCCTTGATCAAATTCATTTTAAAATTGAAGAAATCCAAAATGAATAAAACATTCATAAGAATGCACAGCGTATAAATGAATCCATTAAATCGACTACAGTAAAGCCTCGTTAGGAGTTCGCTATTCACGCCAACTATTCCTGACTGTTTCGTGTGAACTCGTCTGAAGGAAAATACATTCGTGAAATGTTTTTCCACTGATTGCAATCCATGGACAATCGGCGAGTCCTTCCCGCGACTGCCTTTTATCCGATCTAAAAATTCAGTGCAACATAAATGGAACGTTTCAACTTTACCGTATCGATGTCCCGAGTTTGTCGCAAAAGATAGTTCGCGCGCAAAATGTTTCCCATCGAATTGGAGGCCGCGTGCAATTACCGAGTTGCTACTGTAATTACGGAACAGCGAACGGTGCGTGTTGTCGACGTGGCCCGCGTCGTCCCAAACAAATCGACGCGGCAATTGTTCGGCAGAGACAGTGCAGGCTGAAAAGCGGAGATTTAGCGGACCGTGGACGCACACTTTTCGTCGGAACGGTGCCGGTAGGTGAGCGCATGGGCCACCGCAAGCTCCTGGATCCTCTTAACGTCATTATCTGCTCCGCTGTGCCCGTGAAACGTCCGCACGTGCGACCGTAAATCCGCTTAACAGCGATCGGAGTTTCCATGGTGCTCGCGGCCTCGTGGAAACACTTTCCTGCCTCGGTACCCGCACGGTTTCCCGTTCTTTACATTTGCCTCCTTTCGCTTTTACACGCCGATCGTTGTATACTACGCGATCCACCGATCCGAATCGGAAGGGACACAAGAAACTTGAAAGAGAGAGACAGAGAGACAGAGAGAGAGAGAGAGAGAGACAGACAGAGAGAGACAGAGAAAAAGGGAGAGAGAGAGAGATTCAAGAGATTATGAATATTGCGTCCTCGAATATCTACTGTGCTGGAAATCGTGGTAGAATCGACCGTGTAGTGATTCTACATGCAAAAGTCCGTCAAGAAAAAAGATTAACATTCTCTCATTTAAGGCTTCGTGTTCTAGAAAAATTAAGTTGGACAAATGATACTACTGAATAGGAATGAAGTAGCGCGTCTTGCGATCCGTTATAGAATCAGATAAAAAAGTTAAAAATTGTGTTTAACTTTTTTGTCATTCCAAGTAACAGCAAAATTTAAAAAAAAATGTACTTTCGTCGTTGTTCATCTCCACAAAATTCAATTCATTTAAGCCATTTTCAAAGAAGATACACCGTTTTAGAAAATGTGCCAGTATCTTTTTTATCCACTGTATAATATTAGAATAATTCTCGAGGATTTCATGGCACTTTTCTTCGGTGCTTCGCCTAAAACCACCAGATATTCTACACGATGTCTGCATTTCACACGTCCCCGGTACCATGTCGATAAATTAAGAGCGTCTGTCGACGAGGTTCGGTTCGCGGAGAACGAAGAGCGGCCGCCCGATGACACGCACGTTTCTGGGAGCATCGAGCATCGCAGCCGAAAAGATCTTGCGACCATAACAAGCCTCGCGTTCGGTCTGCCTGAGACCGAACACATGAGAACGAGAACGATTGCAAGTTACGAAGTTAGCTACCGGCGAAGAGGTCGATGCGGGCGGAAGTCACTGCTAAGGTCTCGAGTTCCGATGATTGAAATCATCGGGACCAGACTCTGAATTTCGATCAAGTTGGCCCGGCTGAAGCACTTGAAACGCTCATCGCATCGCGGCAAAAGGACTCCGACCTTTGACGTCACGTATTTCACTCACGAATCCCGGCAGAATTGGACTCGAAGTGGATATGGTCGTCGGTGGTCAGACCGCCGGCTGCTGGAACGTTGGTACCCTAGAACGCTGGAAGTATTCATCGTAGACCGGCGCTCATTCATTTCGGCGAACGCGCTTCCGGAAATTAGAAAATCGAACGGCCGCGTACGCTCACTGCTTCCTTGACCCTAAAACCTGAATACTACCGATGCCTTATCCCTCGAAACGCTGCTGCGTACTCTTTCCTTTATCCATTGTGGCGCGATAAAAGTTTCGCATTTTCAACTATTTGGATTTCAGCAGCGAATTTCTGTATTCGATCCAGGACATTATTTTAATTTTATACACCTTTCCTGTTACATTTTAATATATTTTATCTTGCCATTTTTTATTGTCCCAGCACGGAGTAAATCATGGAACATACTTCTGTTAATCTGCAGGTTTAACATATTTATAGCGCATAAAAATCTTCCGAAATTTATAACGCGCACATTTAATTGAAATTTAGCACAGTGCCGTTTCATGTTTCATTCGACGAGCAGTTACTCTCGAAATCCATTACCAAAGAAAATACGATTTTATCGAAAATGTTGCAGTTCTATTCATGATTTCGTATATGCTGTTTATATCCTAGTATTGGCTCACGGAGAGCGATAACTATACGAATAAAACTGGCTAAAAAGTGCGTACTCAAGAGACTAAACAATGGATAATTTGGAAAGAGAAGATACGATTATTCAAGCCTTGCGGCCCGTTCTTATAGTTACCGATTGTCAACAACTATAAAAAACCGGCTCAAACAATCTTTCCAAATCGTCCATTTTTGTGTACAAACTGAGCGTCGATTCGGGATAATTTACTGTAATTCTAATAAGTACCGTGTCCAGAGTCTCGATTTTCCAAAATTTCTGCGAAGTTTGGAAAGCTTAACAGAGGATGAAAGGAGTCGTACCAGGGATTTCTCTTTCAATAAATTAGACGATAAAAAACGATGGCGTGTTTGGACAAAGATCCAGTCGCGGGCAAATAAATAAATAAAACGGAAACAGTTCACCACGCAGTAAAAATGGCGGAGCAGGTGCAGCGCGGACGTTGCGAGGTCAGAGCTTCATCCCCGAAATTTATAGGTCGGACCATCGGTTGCGAAATTCCACGATGATTACGCTACCCAAGAACAGGGGGAGAAAGAGAGAGAGAGAGGAAGGGAGCGTCGGTGAAAAGAGCAACCAGTTCTCTTCAAACTCGTAAGTAAGGGTTGTTTCCATTTACGATCGCGGAATTCACTGGAACCCGCTAATAAGAAGAAGCTTGTGTTCCGCGAAAGAAAATTGGCCCCTGCCCCTTAAAGAGTAACGGCTGCTTTGTAAACTCTGCATTTTTATCGCCGCGGAGACCGGCGGCGGAGTGAATTGCGAAAAAGCTATTTAAAGTTTCACGAAGATAACCGAGCTACCTTTGTCCGCGATCCACCGCTACGTTTTGCTCCCTCGTTCCCGACGGCGCCCGCCGCGCCGTTCGATAAGATCACCCAACGAAACAGTAAACAGAACAAAATGCGGGAAATAGAAAGCCGGAACGACCCGGCCATTCTCCGATACAAAATTTACCGCTTTGCTTTGTCCATTATCGACTTAAAACAGGGAAGAATCTGTCGATCGACTTTTAATCCCGTGTTACGAAAGGATCCGGACGCATCAAGGTCTTCTCTGCACAGATCTAACGTTCCAAGGCTTCAATTATGTTCGTTAGGAACGATTTCTAGTCGACTTCTAAACAGATGACATATAAGTTGAAATGTACAACGGTGAAAATATTGAAGGCATTATGAAATGCACACAGTAATTTCTCCCTAATTCGCACTCGGATTGCGCATAAAAATGGACAATTTGGGAAGAAGAGGTAGAATTTGGTAGTTGTTGACGATCGACAACTATGTATAAAAACGAGCCGCAAGGCTCGAATAATCGTATCTCTTCTTCCCGAATTGTCCATTTTTGTGCGCAGTCCGAGCACGAATGAGGGAGAAATTACTATAATATCTTTTTTAAAGGAATATATTTTTAATTAACTTCTACTTGCTGCAATCAAGGAAGACGATTATTATTCCGCATAGAGATTCATAGAATTAATCTATCTATCGAATAAATAAACAATAATAATTAATCGATTAATTTTTTCCTTGCTAATTTTTATAATTCACTTTCTTCCAAATGTTGCTTCGGAAATTGTTGTCGTTCTAAAAACAACAAATGAAGATTGAATGTATGTACGATTCTGTATCAATGTACTGTCACAAAATTACGTAAAAATAAAAGCAATAAACAATTATTCGCGTTGCT